CACATCCGCAAGCAAATGGGCAGGTGGAGGCGGTCAACAAGATCATCAAGCGAGGCATCAAACTTAGACTGGACTCCAAGAAAGGCAGGTGGGCCGAGGAGCTACCAGAAGTTCTATGGTCGTACCGGACCACCCAACGGGGGTCGACGGGTGAGACCCCGTTCTCCCTGGCCTTCGGCTCCGAAGCTGTAGCCCCGGTTGAGATCGGCATGCCATCTGACAGAGTAGAGCATTACGAGCCTTCGACAAATGAGGAAGAGCTGCTCCTCAACCTCGACTTGTTGGAAGAAAGAAGAGCAATGGCCCAGCTATGCCTGGCGGAATATCAGGGCAGGATGGCCATACATTACAATGCCCGCGTTCGAMCTCGGGCCTTTCAGGTCGGACATCTGGTCTTAAGGAGGGTTCAAACGCATGTGGGTGCCCTTGATCCGGCCTGGGAAGGCCCATTTGAGATCAAGGGCATAGTCCGACCTGGGACGTACGTATTGGCCGATCTGAAAGGAGATGTCCTCACGCACCCGTGGAACGCGGAACACCTGAAGCGTTATTATCCTTGAAATGCTAAAAGGGTTTTCAATGAATTTGTAACGACTGTTCCAAAAGCATTATGATCGGAATAAATGTGATGATTTAATTTCGTGCTTCCGAGTTTGACCAGAAATTAAATGGGGGCCACGGACTCCCACGCGATCGCATTCCAGCAGTTGGTTCAAATTCAATCCTTCCAAGCCTAAGGATACGAGGAACGATATGAAGAGTAGCTACGGATTTTAGCCTTTTTACCTTTTTAAGTTAAGGGTGAAATGTTAAAAATCCAGAGTTGGTGCAATGTGTTGAACACTAAGAGATTCAAACTCAAACTTTCAAATGATTTTAATTAAAGGCCCGACCTCAAAAGTAAAGAGGTGCGAGGTGACATTAGCCGCAGTTCAAAGGAAAAGCAAAGAAAAGAGGTCACTAACAACAAAGTAGAAGCGAATGGGAGTCTCTTTATTGAATGAAGAGCAGAGCCAAGGCTTATAGACCTTGCAGCTCTGCCCTGACACTTACAAACAAAAAGAAAAGGGAGGGAGAACAGCGAAAAGCCTCGTGAAGGGTGGTCGCCTAAGAGCCTGCTGGGGGAGCGCCCTCCTGAGTGGAGTCGGCCTGGTCCTCTTCAGGATCGGAGTAGTCAGAGTCCAGATCCCTGACATACCGATCCACCAACGCTTGGGGGCCAGGGGTGCCGCTAGGCCCAGACGCCCACTTCTCGGCATACCTCCTTTTCAGACCACTGAAATCGATCTGAAGGTCGGGCATGTCAGAAGCAATGCCCTTCATGAGGAACTTGAAGCCCGCGTCAGAAAAGTCTTTGGCAAATCCATCGAAGTCA